AAGGGTTTTTTTTCCTTATTTTTCCTATATCAGATGCAGTGCCAAGTGTTACCCAGCTCCTCTTTTGCCTGCTGGTAGAGTAAGGAACTCTCCACTTGTCCAAATGCCTTTGCCCCCAGAGGGAGCGTGGCTTCCTTAGTGATGATGGTGGGTGGTTTAGAGCCAACCCACCACATGCCTGATCTGGACAGCATCTGAGTGAGGAGATATCCTAGTTGATGAATTCTGATCTTATAGCTGATGTGATTTTCAGTGTTTTTACTTTGGAAAACTACCACTTCCTCTCTATTCTTTGGTAGAGAAACATAAAAGCAAGCAAGTACAGTTACTAAATAGAGACTTTTAATAGGGAATTTTCAGGTGGTATAGCTTCTTCCTTGTTACAGGTATGCAGCTTATCTTTTGGAAGTGGCACAAAGATTTCCATTTACTTTGCTTAGAAATAATTGGCAATAGACACAGTTTACCAATCTCATGAGTTTCCTTGGGAAAAGAAAGATTTCAAAGGTGGAGTCTGAGTTTCTCAATCCCAGTTTTAGTGAGTTTTTCTGGGGACCTCCTATAAAATGTGGAAGGAGTAGTATGACATTTGCTATTCCTTTTCCAGATTAATTATTCTATAAAAAGCATTTATTCTTTTATTAGGATGTAAAGGAATCAAATGGTTTTTTCATTTTGAGCTAATGAGAATGTAAATCTTTGTGTTCAGATTACAAAGAAAAGGGCTTCACACAAGCCAACTTATGAAAACTTACAGAAGAGCTTAGAGGCCATGAAGTCCCATTGTTTGAAGAATGGAGTCACGGATCTCTCCATGCCCAGGCAAGGAAATCCAGGGCCCTAAATGAAGATTTAATTGGTGGGGTTGACTGTTTTACTCAAAGATGAACAACTTCAAAGTTTAACTGAAAATACAGATTTAAAGAGACAAATTTCCAAACTTTGTATGATCACCAGTGAGCCAGTTGTCTGATTTAGGCCAAGGGATAGCCATTTTCTAGCTTGAGTTGAATGAATCAGTATAAACCCACATCAAAACACACGCCTGCCTCAGCCTACTTATAGGGGAGAAACCATTTCCATTCAGTCACATTTACTGAATTCTTGGCATACTTTTCTTGAAGCCTGTTTGCCAAGTAAACTAAAGAATCAACTTCACAGCAAGAATTATTTCCAAACTCTGACCATGGCAATTGTGATTTCCTTCTTGGGCCACTTGTGGTCTCCCAAACCAATTAATCCTGTGTCAAGAAAATTGTAAATTATCATTGCCTTTTACACTGCATGTTTGTTTGTGGTCAGCATGAGTGGTAGCCAGAGGATTTGTCCCTGATGTAACTTCTTAGATATTGGGGACTTATGGGAAGGACAGTGGGTATTCAATGTGTCCTTTATTTCCTTTTCAGGAAGTAGTCCTTACCTCTTTTTTCCCCACTACCCTAGTAGTTTTGCATCAGTGCTGACCATGCATGCAGGTTTATTGCAAGCCTTAAGTTACTTTGCATGTGCTACAGTGTCCCTTATCTTATACTGGTCTTTAATATACTCATGGCTTATGAATCTGAAACTATTTTTTATCATAATTCTTCAGGGACTTAATTATCACATGATGATGTGAAATTAGCAATTTTAACCCCGTCTTGTCCTGAGGGATGTTGAAGATCAATAAAGTAACATCTTGGATGAAAGGTGCTAGGTGATGTAAGTTTCTCACCAGGGTATTGCAAAGACCTTAGTCCTGGATTGCAAGCATTTTGGCATTTTCCAACATTCCATCTTGACCTCCTTTTTTTTTGCAGAGGTCCTGTCCCTTGTCCCCTTTCTCCTTTTCATTTTCCTTAACATTCCATTATTTTGAATGTATTTGGAAAATACTAGCTGGGTGTGGTGGCGCATGCCTATAATCTCAGCAACTCAGGAGGCTGAGGCAGGAGGATTGCAAGTTTGAGACTTGTAACTTAGTGAAACCCTATCTCAAAATAAAAAATGAAAAGTGCTGGGGATGTGTTTCGGTGGTTAAGTGTCCCTAGGTGCAATCCCCAGTATTTGAAAAAAAGAAAAATGCCAACCTTTTCATATCCATCCATAGCTAGTTTTTATCAGTAGAGAGGTAATGGGACAGTGAATCTCCTGTATCATGGCAGAGTTATACATTTTTAATCTAGCATGAAATAATTGGGAAGTGGTATCTTATTGGGCAAAGAGAAGTGACAGCTATTGGATGTTTGAGCTGTGTAGGAATGGTCTCTGATGACTTCACAGCAAGAATTATTTCCAAACTCTGACCATGGCTGCCTATAGGTGTAAGGCCAAATAACTGCTTTGGGGGGATATAGCCCAAAAGAAAAGGGAAAGAGCAGTCTCCTAGATGCCTTCATCACAGCCAATGGAAATGTTTTATCTTTTTTAGGATTGGATGTGGTCTTGATCGTCTGCAATGGGAAAATGTATCTGCAATGATTGAGGAGGTATTTGAGGCAACAGACATCAAAATTACTGTGTATACGCTCTGAGAGACAAACACTTTCTACGTGTTCATGTTCTCCTGTGTCATTCCTACTTGGCCATAGGACTGAGCAAACTGACCTTAAATTGGGCAGTGGAAAATTTTCACTTTATATTCTGTGTCATAGGCCAATCTTGGGTTGTTGTATTCCAGTATTTGGATTGGGATTCTGGAGGAGGGATAGCTTGGGATATGTTTCTCTGCTTTTTGCTGGAGGTCAGAAGTCTGTAGCCTGATACTGGGCCCAGAACCCAGAAAATTGGGCCTGTGACCTCTGTTCCAGTATGCTACCTGATTTGTTTGGCTGGCCACTAGGTGGCAACATTGATTGTTTCTTTGCCGTTTAAGAGAAATTTCAGGAAGATTGAACATTTGAGTTACTTGTGCATCTTTTGTCATTTGTGCACTTAACTTGGCATTATTCTTGGTGAAATTCATCCTAGGAGAGAATCATGTTTTGTTTGTTAATACAAAATTGAATTCTACATTGTTAACAAGGAATTTGTGACCAAAACGGAAAAATAAATCTCTTTTCCTTGGGGTTCAATGAGGTTCTGTGCTCATATCTGTTCTGGACTTGAGTAGCAGAGGATAGCTGATAAGTTAATTTCAGAGTTGGAGGGACCACTGGGAAGAGTATCAAGGTAAGAAACATGAGTGGACAAAAACTATGGATCAGTGCAGTTGGAAGGCAGGTTTTGAATCTCATGGTGAACTCATCCTCTGCATAGATTCTGTGATGGAATATTTCCGAATTTAATCATGACACAGGAAACAGCATGTGTTGAGTGCCTGGTAGAGTGCTTCACACAGAATAGTGAGGCAGTAACTCAGTGATCTAAACCAAGTCCTTATGAATATCTTCTGAAAATTATAAAGGCACTTTCTCACAAAGTTTTAATTTGTTGGCAAGGTGGGGTGACAAGTTTGTTTTTAACCTCCCTAGAAAATTCTAATGTGCAGCTAACTGGGATCCCAAGAATACCACTGTAAATATTCTTCTTTTTTTTTTTTTTCTGAAGTTCACATGTCAAGTCTGAACTTTCATAGTGGAAGAATAAAGTTCATGGATTTAAACAATGGCTTGGTATTGGAGCTATTGGGAAAGCTGGGAGGCATATTTGTTTTCCCCTTCTTAGCTATGGTTCTCAGAGTTAAAACAGCCAGACATGCTACTGATTTTTCTCCCAAAGATGAATGCTGGGTTTGTCAGGACTTGCTGCTTTGCTTAGTGTCAAAGAACAACTGGAATTTAGAAGGGGCTTACTGAAACACCAGAAAAGCACTGGTTAAATATAATCTTTGTACTTTAGACTTATGTTCTTATCACATTTCAGCCTGATAGGCAACAGTTGCTAAAAAGTATTTCCCTTTCATATCTCTGTTTGGAGCAGACAGTTCTGCATGTTGTTGGTGAGCAGGGGCAAGTTCATCAGCAAAGAGACCAAGGCTTTTCTTATTTTCTATCTACAGAAAATAAAATTGAAGGGAGAAAAGTGGGGAGAGGATATCTAAATACACAAAATTGAAAATGAAAGTGGGGTGATAAGTAGAAACTTGAAGAATTAAAGTATTTTGTTTAACTCTAGGCTAGGCAAAAGAAATCTTTGTGTCTCCCTAACTCCACTATGATGCTGGGGATTGACCCCAGGGACTTGTGCATGTTAGGCTACCACTGACTACACCTCCACTCCTAGGCAAATAAATCTTAATACTCGGTCAAAACATTGGTTTTCTAGGCTTCCTTTACTTTTAAAAAGATTACAGCTAATTTTTTTCTTGGACTATGAGACATGATTCTTTTAACAAAACCTAGTCTCATCCAGGATTGGCTGTAAGTAGAATTCTGGGACTCAGCAGGGATGTGATAAAGTGTTTTGTCAGTTGCAGATAGTCTTGGGGTCAAATTCCGATGACTTATCACACTTGAAGCCTGGGGAAAGGAGGCATGGCCTGATAATCAAAATGAACACATTATTCTTGGAAACCCAGTTGGAGTTTGGCAAACACCCAGAAGTTCACATGTGAAATTTTGTTTCCATGTAGGACTCAAACCTTTTAAGAAGTAAAACTTTTGACATTCTTCTTCCAACACTATCAAGTATCATGTATTGAATACTCTTACATGATGTATGTCTACACATTGAAGTGCTTTTCATCCTTCTCTTAATCAAGAAGCTAACTGCTTATTCACTGGCAATTGGGATGTTGGTATCTTATAACATTCCTCTGCTTTTTGTTCCACGTTCTGCTATGCTTTTGTCAGAGAAGTGGGAAAGCCCTCATTTACAAGTCACCTCAGGAGAAATTAGTTTAAGAGAGGCAAGTCCGTGGTGGGCAGTGTGAATGGGAAAGTTAGTTCCTGTTGCCTGGGAAGTCCTGGTGTAATCTTCCCTCTCATAATGTCATGGTCTAAGATGTCCTTACACCTGATTCACTTACTGTCCATGGTAACTTCCTGATGCACAAGGTCCTTAAAATATCAGGCCACAGAAAAACCACACTATTTCTTTTATTAATGTTGCTGTTTTTCTTAAAATAAAACAGCCCAATTTAACATAAAATGCATTTCTGGATGTATTTCAAATATCTATACTGTGGGTCTGAAGCCCTATGCCTTAAGCAGCTCCATTGGGGAGTCATTAAGACCTGCAGCCCCACAGATGCCTGGTGCCCATATGTGGTTGCTTTTCTCTTGTTGTTCACTTTCCTGTTTCCCCAAAGCAGCATAAGAGAGACAGGCACAACCTGAATGGATTATAGCAGTGAGAAGTGTATTGAGTCCTTTGAGGGCCTTATCCAGTATGATTAGTTGATGTCAGATGTTGTCCAGCTCCAGATGGTCATATTAGGAAGACAGGCAGGTCCAAGATGGCATATATGTCACTACTGTCTCTTGATGACAGCATGCAGACCTTCATGAAAAAAAAAAAAAAACAGATTGTTACTGAGAGCCCTGTAGGTACCAACAAATCCCTGAATCTAGAATTTCTTCTCCATAGTTTTCTGTGGTTCCTGGCTGAGCCAGGATTGGGTTTGTTTCTTTCATTCATATTTTGGTGTGATTTATGCAGGGAAAGGCCCAGAGAAATCTTTAACTCTTCTCTTGGTTAAATATATGGTCAAACATTTTTTTCCCCAAAAGATGAAATAAGAGATAAGAGGCAAATTTTTATTTAACAAATGCTCATTTCTTGGGATGATTTTAAGAGGCAAATCTTATTTAACAGATGTTCATTTCTTGGGATGATTTTAATTAAGCTGGGTTGTTCTTTTGAGCTTTTTAGACTACAACTCTGTTTCATGCCTTTTTAAAAACTTGGTGCATTTCCTTCAGGATTGTGAGCATTTAAATAGAGGCCAGGGGAGCATGTAGTAGACTTAGAGGGCATAGTTTTATATGTACGCTGAAGAAGGAGGCTTATAATGTGGGCAATGTCCCAGTAATACTCTATTTTAAAATAATCTGACTTAGAAATGGACTTTTTCTTCAAACTGGTTTATTTTTTGACTTAAATCAGTATGAGCTACAACCCTCAATTATCCAAAATCATACTACCCCTGAAAATGCTTAATTTTAATGGAAAAAAATTCCCTGAAAAATCAAAACAAAACCCCTGAGGATTGTTAGTTAGGTAGCTAGAAGTGGCCCATGAAAAATATTTAAGAAAGGATAGTAGGGTTAAAAGTAAACTATTCTTCATTTCTCTATAGAGTCTATGTTGGGTTTATGATTACAGTGATACCAATTATACTAAAAAAATGTTTCAGGAATTTTGAAAGTTGAACTTTGTATTTTCAGAGGTCACTCTCAGCAGTCTCTCTTGATGCTCACCACTACCTAGAGTAAGTGTCATATTTTCTGTGAGCAGATTACCTCATGCTTTTCCCCAATTGAATTCAAAGACTGAGTCCTTCTTTTTTAAGAAATAACTGAGAATCATGTCTTCAGGAATTGCAGATGCTCAGCCTGAGAATGAGCAAGTGCCCTATGTGTGTGCTTAATAGAAAACACCTGCCAACAGCAAGCTCCAGAACATTGATATTTCCTGAATGTGTCTATAAAGCAGCATCTCCTCTTAGGGGTATTAGGAGTGAGAATCACCAAAAAAAAAAAAAAAAAAAAGAATTAATAGAAACATGCTGCTTTCATGTTTTACTAATATGGGAGTTGTTTGAGAATTAAAGTTGAGTATGAGGGTGGTTAAATACCCATCTCTATCATCAGAGGTTTTGATCAGTAACTGTGGCCTTGTAACGGGTCTCAGTTCAGTCATAGCATTTCTGTGGGAGCAAACTAGATCAGACAAATTTTTAAAAAAGATAGTAAAGGATCCTTTACCCTCTTTCCTGAGGATAATTGGCCTGTTTCTGTAAGAGTCTAATTTACCCTCAGCAAGAGGCCAAATTGGCCTTAATTGTGTCCTAATTATTTGCTTAAATAGCTAATCTTTACTTCCAGTTCTCTTATCACCTCTTGATATCTATAGGAGGCTTCTTCTGAGCTGCCACCTAATTTATAAACATCTTTTTAACCCTTTAAACATTCCTCTATAAACCAGTTTGTGGCTGTGTTATCCTGATTCTTGCATTCAGCATTTTCCAATGCTGAGATCTTCTCAATAAGGAACATGTTCTTGCATTAGGCATTCATGCAGCAATTATTGATCTCCCTCAAAGCATAACCATTTGCTTGAAAACATAAAAGCAGGTCTGGCCAAAACCAAAAGCTGACTACAAATCCACTTGGGAATTTCAGAATTACCAAAAATGAAAGAATTGCCCCTAAAGAATGAAAAACCTGCATTAAAGAAAAGCAGATGTGTAGACTGCAGGCAGCTTGGGAGCAGAGTAAGCCTGGATCCATGCACAAGAGGGCGTGCTTGAAGGACTTAAATATCTTCTCTGCTGTTGTTCGGTAAGTGGCCCTTGTGCCATCTAAATCTTACTGAAGTTTCATCTGTCTCAAAGCTTTAAGATCCCTTTCAACCTTGTTTTTCCAAGTTATAGGAAGTTAGTTTGAAATAAAAGGATAGAAAAGAGAAAAGATTTTGGCACAAAGATTCAGAGGTAAGAGAAAATGAAACAAAATGTTTTAAAACCAACCAAAAGCAGAGAAGCGCAATCCTTCCAATGCAGATTAAACATTGTGCCACTCATTCTACCTGACCTCAGGTCTTATTCAAGTGAACGGTTGGTGGAAAAATGGTGCCTTGCAACCAGAAGAACTCACATGAGGCCGAGCCCAGCTGCCTACTTCAGGATGTCTGCCAACTTCTCCTCATAGTATAGGAAGTTCTCCTGAATGTCCTCCCAGGGCTCGAAGGCCTTGGATTGACCCTCTTCTTGCTCCACAAAATTCTGCCAGATGTACTCGAAATCCTGGGGCTTCATGATACGCAGTTTGCAGCCAGCCTCCTTCAGTTTCTTCAGAGCAGTCTGGATCTCTGGTTCTTCCCACATGAAGAGTCGCCCCACCAGAATGAGCAGGCGCAGGTTCTTGGTCTTCCCAAGGGTTTTGATAATGCGGTCAGCGCAAGCTGCACAGGGACTAGAAGACACATACCAGGTGACATTGTACCGCAAGGACGGGTCAAAGGTGGGCAGGATGGTGTTGAAAAAGGCTTCCTCTGCGTGGGCAGCTGCATGCTCATCCTCTAGGTATCCCCGAGATGCCTGGACTTGGCCTCCCTTGCCCTGCGCTTCAACCACATAGCAGAGGAAGGTCTTGTTCCGCCCAGAACTGTACTCCACATTCCGGAACTGAAACTTAAAGAAGTTGACAGGCAGCCGCTCCCTGTAGGTAAAGGAGACAAAGGGACAAGGAAGGAGAGAGAGAATGATGAGTTCTTGTGTCTAGAACCAGCCTAGAGTAGGTAGATCTCCAAGACATCCACTCTTACCAAAAATAGGTCTTGCCTATGCTAATGACAATCATAAAAAAGCATGAAAGAACCCAGAAGTGTTTACCTGGAGGGAGGGAAAGAATTTGGATTGGGTTTATGTTCTGGTCACCTCACTAGGAAGGATCCTCAACACTTTCCACCATCTAAACAGCACATCTTAAATCAGTGAACCCTTAACCTGACTATACTTTCAAGTCACAAGGAGGACTAAGCCTGGATCCCACACCAAATCAATTAAATCAGAATGTCTAGAGAGAAGTCCCAGGCATCAGTATGTTTTTAAAACTCTAGAGAATTCTAATGTGTGTCTAGGATTGACAAGCAGTGTTCAAATAGCAATTTTACCAAGTAGCAAGTGTGTTAAATTTCTCATGACAGAGCAAAACAAAGATTTTGCAAAGCATTTCATGCTTTCATTTCTCCTTGTAGCTCATGTAAATTGCATTTTGAGCGCGGAATGGCCTAGGTCTTGTAGTATGCTTGTAGACTGTTTCTCAAGTCTGTCTTTTCCTTCAGGTGAAAGGATTGTCACATGGTCTATGTGAGAATTGCTACCTGTGAGACAAGATGGCCCAAGGATACCTTGGGATAAGCAAGCTTGTGTGTAGTATTGAGTCATTCCAGGGTCATGAAAGATGTAGCCACTGCCATCCAGATGCTTATAGTCCAGCAGCTAGATTCTAGCTGGCCCAAGAAGGCAAAAAATAAAAGAGCTGAGAGCATTAGAAAACTGCTAAAAGTGGAGAGGTAGACTAGAGAACCTATGGTATTAAAACTTTCACCTTGATTCAATCAGGAGGCAGCAGAGAACTGTTACCAGTTTTTTAGTAGAAAAGCATTTAAAAGTGACATCCACAGCAGGTTACTATGGCCAATGGAGTGTAGCTGGGGTGAAAAAGTGACTAATCTTCTTAGGACACCAAACTTAGTGACAAGGAGTTCAGGTGTCCAGTGGCTTCAAAGAGGAGAAGAATGATTAGAAAATTAGGAAGAGGCCAGGTTTTTAATAGTAAGAAGGAGACAAAAAAGGAGAAGAGTTACAGAGGGCGTCAGAGTATTTCTGTATATGTGTGTGTTTTTCTAAAATAGGAAAAATATGTGCAGGTGTGAAGGTCAAGGAGAATGAGGAGGTTTTAATAGGAGAGATTGATTTTCAGAAGTAAAGGAGGGATGAGTACCAACTAGAGATGCCGAATGTATTTCTTTTTAAAAGTATAATCTCTGAGCTGGGGATGTAGCTCAGGGCAGAGCACTTGCCTACCATGCACAAGGCCCTAGGTTCCCTCCATGCTCAGCATAGCCAAACAAGTAATCTCTGTGCCTTCCCGAGAAGATAACTGTGGCATCACTAACTCACATGCCCTGTCTCCACCCTTTCTTATTCCCCAGAAAGGTCACCAGACTCCCTGGGCTACAGGGGAATCCCTGGTATCCCAGAGCCTTGGCTGCTCAAGGGTAACAGCAGATGCCAAGAGCTGACCTGAGTTGTTTCCTTGCAGGATTCCCTGCCCCCACTCCATCACCAAATTTTTTCTACACAAATTTCCATGTCTCTTGCTGTCAGGTTAAGTTTCCACTGTGGAGATGAATGTGTTTGAGGACCCAGCCCCAGAATCCCTTCAAGTACTATACTTAGCTGTCTAAGCCCCTGTGTCCCTAGTTGCAGGTGTTTATTATTTACTTAACATTTTAGCAGAATAGATCACCTGATGTTTCCTCTCTCCTCTTTCAGTCCCTGCTGAAAATTCACTTACCCCGAGCTCTTCCTAGTTACTCCACCTGCCTGCTCCTGAATTCTACAAGTTGCTCAGGGGTCCTTTCACTCTCTGGAGTAGATTTTGCTCCTGAGAAGTACAGAACTCATCTTTTTAGCCCAAACCCTTGTCTTATTCCTCAAAGTCTTTTGCCAGGCCACACTCCTTTCTCCATGTCAATGCAGAGCCACCTGTATGAGAGATTCTCCAGTGGAATCCTTGGAAATATTATCATTACTTGGGGACTTCAGCAGTAACTCCCTGTGTGGTCCCTCAGGTTTCTTCTGGAATCTCCCAAAGCATTGCTCCACTTTTGCTAAGTGTAGTTCAGCCAGAAGTATGAATTTGGCTGCATACAACTGCAAGTTTGGCTGGGTAGTTGTGAGAAGTCTGCTTCTCTCTGCCCCACTAAAGTTCTGACATTTTCCCTACCTCTTCCCTAGGCAAGAGGAGAAGAATCAGAAACTTGAAACCCAAGCAGGGAGAAGAAAGGTCATCTCTCTATAAATATCGTTTTCTGACCCCTCTGGCCAGCAGCCCCAGAGCCGTTTCTGTCCCTCAGCGGGGCCCTCTGGAAGAGGTGCTGGAGGAGAAGAGCTTTCAATGGGCAAAGGAAAGGCAGGGAAGATTTGGCTTTTAGTCTTTCCTTTGGGCTTGCCCAGAGACTGAGCTTGCTTGGCATCTCGATGGGCTTCTTGGTCTTCCAGAAGGAGCATGAGGGTCAAGTGAGGTACTCTGGGCTTCCCACAGACTAAAACAGCCATGTCCTGGAGGGAATCCAGGAGAACAGAGGTAGGGGAGGTCTGACATTTCTGCAGCAAGCTGGACAGCATGGCCACCTCAGGTGATTTTGTGGAATCACAAGATAGGTCAACACTATTATGCTCACTGGTGGAAGAAAGGACATAGAGACACCTACCTTCTTAATCACAAACGATGTTTTCTAAAAACATGATATGCCTAGGCATTATATCTACTTACACCTTTTTTTTTTTTTTGATCCCCAGCAGATAATTTCACTATTAAAGGAGTGTGTGTGTGCAGGGGGTGCATTCTATCTGTGGTGTGTGCATGTACATGTGTGTTGGAGTGGTGTGACCAAGAGATGATGGTAATAGATCTCCCTCCCTCTTCGTTCAGTCCCTTCTTCAGGAACAGAAACCACCATATATGATTCCTGTTTCCTTCCTTCAGCTTCAGGCAGCACTTAATTTAGGCATCGTTTTCTCATGTTTTCTGCATACAAGGCCATGGGCATCATAATTATCTAAGAGGAAAACCCAGAATCCTAATATCCAGAATTTGGAAGATGGTCTGCTTGAAGGAGGGAGAAGAGCTGTGAGTACGTCTTTTTCTCAGGTTTGCATTTTAAAGGTTTGCATTTCCAAAGTAGAAATCTGTATTATGAAAAGGGGCAACCTGGAGGGCAGTAGAAGATGGTCTAAAATGAAACGATTGCTTCCAGATAACTCTCAGAGTAGAAAACCTACTCACAAGGGATTGAACATTGACTCATTTCAGCTTTCCCTCACTAGACCTGCCAGTGACCTGTGTGGAAGATGTAGCCTTGCTCTTTTCTTCAGTTGCCTTCTTTTTCAGACTACTTTCAAAGTGGATGCCAAGGAGTAAGCCTAGTCAGGGAGAGGAGTGTGGCACAGAGGCAGAGGGTTACTGAGCTGAGAAGGGAGCTGTAGACTCGCAGGACTGGATGAGGATCTGCCCCAGGCAAGCCCTTCTCCCCAGGAGGTACCATTTTTGCACATAGCTTTGACCTCCTACCAACCCTCCACACAGACCAGGGTGGCAGTTAGTGGGCTGTCTTCTTCACCCATCATGCTCCAGAGGCATCCCTTCTCTAGATGCTGCCTCTTCTCTCTGTCCCTCATTTGGCCACAGGAAATTCTTGGTAGCTCAAGAAGTGGTTGAAAGAAGACTCACTCCATCTGCCACTTATCTCTGTTTTGTAATAATCCCATTGATGATAGATTTTGCTTTTTGCAAAAACATACACACTACAACTAGCAGGGTGCTGCCAGTCACTCCTTGCTGGGATGGGGGGATGGGGAGACAACCTACCATGGTGTCTCAGAGCACCCCTAAGCTTCCTGCAGGCAGAGCTAGGCATGCACCAGGAGAATTCTCATCTAAACCCAGCACCACCAGGTCCCCAGACATCCTGAGCTTCTCTATGCCAGAAGATCTTTCCCCATCACAGATCTAGCAGAGAGACTAACACATAATAAATATTCATTCATTAGTTCATTCATTTATTCAGGAAATATTTGTTGAGTACCTATTAGGAGACAGGTGCTAAGGATAAAGCAGAAAAAGACAAAGTCCCTGCTCCCTGTGGGGTAAATATTACTATTGGGGGGAAATGGGCAGTAAATAGCAATTCCTACTCAGTAAATATTTGTGAATGTAAAACTAATCCTCTTTATGGCTTTGGTTGCGGTGGGATGCTTTGGAATCAGACAGTCCTGGGGTTCTTGCCCTTCTATTAGTTGGGCAAATTACCTAGCCCTCTAAGGTTTAGCTTCCTTATCTGAAAGACTGTTATCCAGCCTTTTAGATTGTGAACAATGGTAGAATCTCAATAAATTAAAGCTAGTATTGATGGACAGTGCCTTTTCCAAGCTCAAATCATATCTTTTAGAGATTCATTTTAATTAATTTATTTTTGTGGTACTGTGGCTTGAACCCAGGGGTGCTCCTACCATTGAGGTTTTGTTTTGTTTTGTTTTGTTTTTTAATGAATCACATTCTCACTAAATTGCCAGCTTGAACTTTTGATCTTCCTGCCACAACCAAAGCTATGGGATTCCAGGGGTGTGCCACCACACTTGTCCTAGAGCTCTATCTCCTGCATTACCAAACCTTTCCTTTTTCTTCACTTCCTCTCACTTCTAGCAGTTGGAGTGGTGTACTGCTAAGTATTTAACACCCAACTCTGTAAGAAAGAAAGAAAAAAAACAACAACCCCGATTTCTAACCTTTTCTGATTTTTGTAATGTAATTACTTCTGCTATGGAGAAGTCACTGAACATAGAATAGGGAAAAGATACACATGATCACCTTTCAAGCCAATAGGAGCTAGTTTCACTGCAGTTTTAGGCCTTTTTCCAGTACTATCCACCATGTTGCTTTATTAATGTGCTTAGGTCTGCTTCATCCTGAGCACCTTATTCAATCTGAAGCACTGCAGTCATCTCTTTTCCTTACCAGCTACCCCTTTTTTCGGACTATTCTCTGAAAAGCCATCTCTCTTCTACTGGTTTCCAGCCCAAAAATACAGGGAGTATTTTAGATCCATACCCTGAGGGAGTCCAGGCTAGGAGAGGACTGGCTTTGCTGGTCCCTTGGATTTCTGGGCATGTAGAAGGGAAAACTGTTTCCTCCCCCTGTCCCAGCAACAGTCATAGCTCCACCTCTGGGCTATTTTAAGCATCTGTTTACCCAGAGGGGCCAAGGAAACAGATCTCCACAGCTGTTGCTTGTGGCCAGAAAAGACTCAGGCTCCACCTTCCACCTGAAATGCGCTCAGAGTGTGCAGAAAGCTGCTTGCTTTGCCTGTTTCTCTGAGCCTTGGGTCATGGGAAGCCTCTGACCCTCACTACCTTACAGATGGACCCAGAATGATAGGAGACAAGTGGCAAAAATGAAATCAAGTAAAAAGAGACCAGTGGCCAAGAAACTTGACTGGTGGTCAGAAGATCTGCCACTTCCTGGTTCTGTGGCCTTGAACATGTCACAAAGTCTCCCTGAGTCTCAGTTTCCCCTGCTGTAAGGGGCATTAATCAATCTCCCTCTCCTAGCATCTGCTGAGGATTTGAATGAGCTCATTCACTTGAAAGCATGAGTGATTTTAAAGCCCTGACAAATGTCAGTTACATCAGAGGACTTAACCCTCAGGACCCACTTCCACGGGACCCAGAGCATGTTCATCTCGATAGTCTAATTTAGCTCCTGTGCTAGGGAGAGCACAGTGCTGCATGCAGTGGGGTGTGTGTGAGCAAAGACAGCGTGGCTTAGCATGCTGAGGTGTTAGAAAAAGGATCTTCCACAAGAGCCCCTGGAATTGAGGACGCCCCTGGCCTGGTTGCCCTAGGCTTTCCCTGTGTCTATATTAGTCTGTGCCCAGCTGCTCCCCTAATCCTAGGATGAGGGTACGATTAGCTGGTTGAGCATGGGCAAACGGAAGTATGAGGGCTACTCACACCTCAGGAACTAGGCTGCATTTTCCCTTAGGCTCCTTTAGAAATCAGAAAATATCTGAGCTAGAAGGGGTCTAGAAGTCAACTAGCATAACTTTCTCCAGTTAGAAATGATAAAACCAAGACTGGAAAATCACTTGTCAAGCATCAAATAGCAAGTTCAAATTACCACCCAGGGCTCCTCCCACCCTTGAGGGCATGGTGCCTCCATTCTTTCTGAAACTTCTCTCAGTGGGGTGCCCACTCTGCCTGTGCACGGTGCTGGAGCCCCCTGTGAAGGAAATCCTGGACCTGGAGAAAGTGTTTTCCTTTCGAAAGGATTCTTAAAGATTCAGCAGGATCTTTCTCTATAGAAAGAGAGGGGAAAGGAGGAAGACACTTGATTTTATTCCTAGAAGTGGCACAATCACAGGACAGAGGGACCTTGTTCATGGCTCCCCTCTGGAGCCTCTAGACAGTTTTCTCAGCCTCACTTGAGCTGAGCTCATTGGAACAGCTCTCTGTCCAGAAGTCCCTGGCTTGTGTTATCTGTGCTGTGATTTTTTCCCTAGGGAGGGGAGCAGACAGCCTCTGGGGAGACTCAGAAGAGACTTAACAAGGTGAAAACTGTTTCTCACTCAACCTTGGAAAAGGATAGATCTGCCTTAAAATCTTCTACTCCAGAGAGAAACTCTAAGAAAGTGCCAGAGACATAAACATAGAGGAGAGACCTACTCAGAAGCAGAGCAGAGAGATGAGGTGTGTGGTGGTGGTGGTGGGGGCGGGGGAACATGACTTTGGGGCATCTTAAAATGTGCAAGTCTTACCAAACTTCTTGGGAATAAACCTCTCTTCAGAAAGGCAGGTGACTCCCAATATTAGGAGGCCATAGTGGCGGTTTCATATTTGGGTGCTTGCCTCCAAAGAGTTCCTCCCCTTCTCCTGAGAGAGCCCAAACTGGTGCCCAAGAGGCCAAGACATTCCAAAGACCCCTTCCAGGTACACAGGTGCCTTCTCCCAAAGCTGTGGCTAACCCTGACCTCTGCTCTTACATACTAACTGTCCATAGCCTGCCGCACGCCTAAAATCTCCTAGGGAGGAGGACCCAGGCCCATGTCCAAGTCTCACCCTGTGACGATCTCAAAAGGCGGCAGCTCAATGAGCTCCTTCAGCTTCTCGGGGTTCTCCAGGTCGTCCAGGTCCTCCCCATTTTGGGAGGCCGGTGCAGCAGCCGCAGCAGCCTCTTCTTTCTGGGCCATAGAGGGGCTGTGGTTCAGGAGTTACTGAGAGAGGAGAGGCTACGGGTCTGGGCCAGGGCCTGGCGGCAGAGTCCCAAGCAGCTGTCAGCAGCTAAGTATGGCTGGGGATGACGGAAAAAGGACCTGGCTGGCCAGGCTTTGTGCTTGTGTCCCTCAGTGACAGGCTTTATAACCAGGGCCTCCTGCCCCTCCCCCCCAGGCCCTCTCCCTCTATCTTTTTTTAATTGAGTGACAGAGGGTGCCAGGGTGGGGGAATGGAAACTCTGGCCATTACTATCCCTATCTATCAGTCTGAAAAGACAGGAAGCTGGCAGGTGGGCATGGGAGGCCTGCTCTTCCCTGCCTTCCTCTCCCTCTGCCCTTTGTTTCCAACCTCCCCAGCTCATGGGGGAGATTGTGAAAGGGCCACGGGGCAGACATCTGGAGATTAGGAGGAAAAGCTCAGAGTTTCAAGCAGGCTGTAGAGGGGGTGGTTGCAGAGAGCCCAGCCATTTTCACTGGGGGAACCTGGCTTCAGGGAGGAAGAGTCCCAAGGAGAGGTAGGATAAAAACATGATTTGGGAAGAGTGTGTAAATTGTGACTCAAAGGGAGTAGATGCTACTTTGGCTTTTGTGAACCCACGATGCCATGGCCAATGGAACAGGAGTGACAGGAGCTGCGCATTGACCAAGATTTTAAATGGGCCTGGCGGTGAGTTTAGTGGTCTACACACGAGATCAGACTTAACGTCCTACTGCTGTGGGAGACCATGTGTGCTATACCCATGCTGCACACGGGGAGACTCACAAACATTCAGCCTGCCTGCGATGCTCCCTCTCAGTCAGTCCTTGATTCATTTAACAAATATTTAACTGAGCATCTGCTCTATGCCAGGTGTTGTTTTAGTATTGAAATGATGGCAAAGAACAAAGCAAATGAAAGTCCCTGCCCTCATGGAGCTTGCAGGGGTTGGATGATAAATAATATAAGTAAAATATTTATCTTTATGATGTTTGGTGTTGCTAAAGGCTAAGGAGAAAAGACAGGGAAGGGAAGATAAAGGGGCAAGGTGTGAGACTGCTTTTTCATAGGCTAGCCAGAGAACAAGAATTGAGATAAGATCTGAAAGAGGCAAGGGAACTAATCATAAGGATCTCTAAAGGGAAAGCTCAAGTTCCTAGGAGAGAAGCAAATGCCCTGAGGTGGAATGTTCCTACTGTGTTTGAGGAACAAAGGTAGCAAAGGCTGCAGAGTCCTAGGAGAGAAGGCAAAAGAAGGGATCAAGATCTAAGGAGACTGGGCCCCTGTGGACTCTTCCAAGGATCTCGGCTTTTTCTTTGGGTGTGAGATGGGAAGCCATTATCCCTGAAGAGATTAAACACATGCTCCAACTTAGTTTTTGCAGGATCCCCCTGGCTGCTTGATTGAGATCGGGGCAGTGGTGGGAAGGAGCAATAGCAGAGACCAGTTAGAAGCCTGCTGAAACTGCAGAATGGAAAAGCAAAAGCCCTTGAGCTAAAAGGCAGTAGAAGATGGCCAGTTTGCAGCTCACCTGACTGGCGCTTCCCGGGGTCATAAGTCTTCATGTTTGGGGCAGTGTAAACTCAACACTAGAACATTCTCGGGAAAATGAAAAGGAGGGATCAGGGTCATCTGCAGGTTGAAATGAGGAATGGAAAAACACTAGGAAACTGGCCTGAACATAGCTTCACTTGGGGTTGGACAGTGCTAAGAACATAGGGTACCTTTCCAAGGGTCTGCCTAGGAGCAGCCGAGACTGTTGGTTACAGAGGACTCCTGCCTCCAGAGAGTTCCGAGCAGCATGGTGCAGGGTTTGTAGGGTGCCTGGTCACTTATGCTCCCTCCTTATTGTCTAGGCATAACCCTTTGACTCCCCAAAGTATCTCAGTGTGGACAGTGAATTATATGTCACCCTGCCTGTTACTAATTCTTGTCCAGAGATTATTTTGTAGCCATTTTCCCAAAGGAATCAAGCACAGGGTAGAGGGAATAGTGCCCATGTCCACCATGAAAAGATAGTAGCAACTGGTGAATAGCAAAGAATATTTATCATCACATAAACTCACAACATTTAATTGTGAAGAGTTTACTTCATCCTTTTATTTAATGACACAAGGGCTTCTGTGTGTAGTAAATACCAAGAATACAGAGATACATGAGCAGGGACTTACAGTCTTTATGACACTTGGGGGATTGACCTCACCCCAGGCTCTCATGGGTGTGGATGATGCCCTCATTTTGCACATTAGGCATCTGAGGCAAAATGATTTGTACAAGATCACCAAGGATTTGAGTCCAGGCCTTCTGAGTCTATAAGTTCAGCCTGATTTCCAGGGCTAATGAACATCTCTGACACTTTTGAATCAGGAGTCCTTCCCCTTAGTTGATGCGCTTGGATCAACTAAGGACAAGGAAAACTCTCTGACAGGAAGACTCCTGTCAGTTCACTCTTCCTGGTAGGGATGGGGTCGTTCCTGAGGGCAAGTTTTTACTTTTTTTTTTTTTTTTTTGGTGTGGGGGATCAAACCCAGGACCTTGTGCACTCAAGGCAAGCACTCCACCAACTGAGCTATAGCCCAGCCCAGGTTCTTACATTTTGGCTTTCAGGTATACCCTGGATTAGGAGGAAAAACAGTTCATGTTCACAATCCTATCTCAGCCTCTGATTCATGTGATCTTGGCTAAATTGCATCTCTGGGCCTCAGTTTTCCTCCCATGACATGGGCTAACTGCTGCTGTCACCTCCAGGATGGTCAAAAGAATCAAAGTGAAGGATAAGGTTGGGGGGATGGCAAAGACCACAGAGCACAGGTAAGTGGTGGTGAGCTTTCTGACTCTCCTAATAGTTCTGAGAGACCCTGGGAGAGGGCGCAGAGGGAGTCCCTGACTGTTCTCCCTGAAGAGATGATCCTTGCCCCCACCATACCCCTGGATAGTTTTCCTATAACTCGTGGGAAAGTGCCTTGAGGCTGATGACTGACAGCTTCCTTTTCCACAGCACCTCCTGTCATGTCCCCCCGGCATCCCTGGAGGCCCTCTGACCTGCTCTGGCTATTTATGGCTCCTCCTGTAGACCTAAATTCCTGGCTCTCCTTTCCAAGTCAGACCAGTTCCCCCCACTGGCCCCAGAGTTACAACAGCTAATCTGGGGGATCAGGTGCCAAGATCCTGGCTCCTCCCCCTGCAGCTGCTACTACACTCTTTGGGGGGCTGGGTGCCCTGTCCCTTACCCCTACCCCTGTTGGGGAAGGTTCTATCAATGTCCTCCTGCACAGGAGGAAACTGAGCAATGAGGTATTTTATTCAAGGTCACACAGGATCTCAGTGGTGTGCTGGGGTTTGAACCTAGCCTTTTCCTCCTGCATCTTATGCTGCCTGGACCTCAGTAACAAGGAGAGCAGTGAACTGACATTAACACAGCCCTGGTTGCTGGTCGGACAATACCCTCAGCACCGGCACATTAATTCCTCCACTCTTCACAAGGATGTTTGGGGTAGGTACTGTTAGAATGCCCATTTTACAGATCTTGGATCTGCGACCTAGAAGTTAAGTGGCGTGCCACTAGTGAAGCAGAGTTATTTGTTTCCAGTGTCATGCTCTTGACCCCTTTACCGTTCAGTCCCTACCCTACCAGGATTCCTGAGGCCAGTTAGTGAGGAGGGGAAGAAGGAGCTGGGGCAGCTGGAGAGGCCCGACAGGAGCTCTTGCAGGGAGAGCAGTCTCTGGCAAGTATTTGATATTGAGGGGTACGTGTGTGTGTCGGGGATATAGGGATAGCGACACCACATGACTGTGAGTGGGGAGAGAAAGCTAACAGAACTCTCCCAGCATTTCTCTGTGGGCTCCTGTCCCTGAAGGAACTGGGTGAGACCCTGGATAGTTGCAGCCAGCCACTCCCCGTCCCATTTTTTTCCATGATTATTTCAGAAAACATTCAGGAGCTCTCTTGGTGGATGAAAGGGAGGGGATGAGGTCAGACCTGCCTGTTCCTTGGGCCTTGGCTAGATGTGAAGCAGAGAGGCCAGGAAAAGGGCTAATGGAAAATAGAACCTCAGAGGAAAGTTTAAATTCTCACTCTGAAAGAGGATACCTTGGGGGTGCATGGTTGGAGTCAGTGCTTTATGTGCAGGGACAGCTGGAACCCCAACAGAGTGTTGCCCCAGAGACAGCTCGGGCATGCCTGCCCCTTCGGTCACTACTGAGACAAGGTACACAAACAACAGGCTACGGGCACCAGACACCCCTGGCGGGCAAGAGTCTGCCCCCTCTGGAAACCACTTTGTTGACATAAACACGGGGTGTCCAGGACTTTAAGCCACCTTGGCCAGGGACAGGGAAGAAGGCCAAGGGTCTCCCAGAATCTGAGGCTGGGATTGGCTAGGGCACCAGAATCACAGGGTAGACCGGGTTTTTCAATCTTCAGTAAAGGACACAGCGCTTGCCTTCCCTTGTAGAACACGCTGCCCTGGGAAAATGGTGACACCCAGGACTCTAATGCTGGTCATGGTGATCCTCCATTCAGCAGCCACTCCTGGCTCTGCCCAGCTCCCTCAACATTATCTGGCTTGAGTCTTTGAAGAAAGTGGTCTGATAAGAATCTGCCCATTAAGGTGACTAATAGGGTTCCTTTGAAGGAGTGTTTATAAGGCCAACAGACCTATAGGGACAAAGTATAAACTCTGCAATCAACTTTTGAGAGAATTCCAGCCCTTAAAATGAGTAAATTGTTGGAGTGGATCCAAGTACAAGAGTAGGGGGCTTTTCTGGTGCTCCTCTGAGTGGACAATTTCTTTGTGGGTCCGGGGACCTTGTAGACATAGACACTAGGTAAAGAATGAGACCCTGAATAGACACTGTGGAGGCCTCTCGTGGCTTGCACACTAGAAGAGGGGACCTGAGCTTATGAAGGATCTTAAAAAGCTGGAGGGCAGAGGGGGTCTTGGAGGGAAGGAAATGTTTCAGGGGCTCAAACTGAGTATAGAAGAGGAAGCTCGGGGTCTGAGGGAGTCCCAAACAAGTCCAGCTGTAGATTGAGTACTTAATGAGCTGCTAGTGAGGATCAACAGTAAAATCCTTACAAAAGGGTCTCGGGCTTGATTCCTGGCACTACAAGAAAGGGGAACTCTGGGAAGATTCTGAAACTGAGCTTAGGGTATAGGAGAGCCTCAAGAGATAGACTGGGTGGTAGCCACCCACAAAGGAAGATGTGATTTTGGAGCCTGGCCCAAGCTTGATAATGAGGAGGGTGGCCTCTGTGCCATCAGCTCTGCCTGCCAAGGGTTGCAGGAGCCTGAAGTGCACTTCCTGCGCCTGCCTCCTCCCAGCCCAGCTGACTGACCTCTGCCCACCGGATGTACACCTACAAGTCTGCTATCTTACCTCTCCTCTCTTATGTTTCCATTCTGCAGAAATTGGCAAAGAGAGGAAGAGCAAATTGTTGAGGAAAGAGAAGAGAGACGAATATATTACTACCTGGCTTTGCTCTTTCACCTACCTCTCCCCACCTCTCCAGCCATGAGGTGGGAGATATGCTCAGCCTTGTGAGGAGTCTGTCTCTCCCGCCTGCACAGAATAAATCATATTCAGACACCCATTCCGATGCATAAGGAATAATACTACCCAAGGACAAAGAAGCACATGTATGTGATTGGATGGCATACATTGAGCAAAGACAAGAGGTGGCTCCAACTCTTTTATAGGCTCAACTCTGGTGACAAGAGAGGAGAGGCTGAATGCAGGTCTGTTCCAGACTAGTCTCTGAACTCAGAGTTGGGGTAGGGGAAGGGCAAGAGGCCCAAAAGTATTGAGAGACTGTGAAATTAGAGCCTTCTGCCTAGATTAGGGAGCTGGTGCAGAGGGGGATTTTTAAGGACAGATCTTTAGGGTCACATCTTTAGGTTCAGAGCTTGGGGGTGGGATCCTACCCTTTCATTTCATGCTGAATTTCTGTACAAGGCCAAGAAGTCCTTTAATTTGGCTCATGCCAGTGAGGGCCAGGGACACTGCCCAAGTTAATCTTCTTTCTAGGACTGTGAGTCTTGACAGCTGGGTTTGTGGCAGGTTTCTTGCCCTGGGGAGGTCAGTGTCATATCATAGACATGGTGCATCTTCTTGGAGGATCAGCTTAACTTCTGGAATTAACTGGTTATGTGAATAAAATCCCAGCAAATATTATAATGCCTGTATGTAGTACCAGTAGGTATTCCTGGGGTGTTGACTTGTCCAAGGTCCCACAGTGAGAACAGAGCTTGATAAGAAGCCATGCAGTGGTGGCTCCCAGGCCCATCTTCTGACCATCAGCATTTATAATGAAATTTGGAAATTTAAAAGTTTAAAACAGTTAATGTATATAAATGGAGCCATAAGTTAAACCAAAAGCAAAATTTATTTTATTTTTTGTGGTGCTGGGGGTAGACCCAGGGCTTTATGCATGCTAGACAAGTGATCTACCACTAAGCCACACCCAGTCTAAAAGCAGCTTTTAATAATTTGATTGAGGTAAAGATAAGATATCCAAGAATAAGCAAGAGCTGGTTGTTTTTGTGCCTGTGATGATGGCCAGGTTAGCTCATGACCTGAGGAGGAGGCTCCAATTTGCTAGCTGTCAGGTTTGGGAAGTACTTTACTTACTACCTGCAACTCAGAGCACAGTAGGCCTGCATTAGACCGAAGGTGCTTACCAGCCAGGTGGTTTCCTGGGGTCCACTCCTGGAACAACAGACATTTATGGAGAACTTATTCTCTGCCATTATCTCATTTATTTCCCCCCCCACACACACAAATCTGTGAGGTCCTCATTTTAGAAATAAGGAAAATGAAACACAGACAGCTTAGGTTGTGCTAGGTAACCAGTTAATCAATGACAGAATCAGTCTCCAACCCCGAGTTGGTCTGACTCCAGGTCCAGAACTACAAACCACTGTACCATATTATCCTCATTCCCCAAGATGATCTGACTCCCTGGGTCTGGAGCTGGGCTGCATTCTGCACCTCAGTAAGTACCCCAGAAGGCCACTGGACCACACTTTGAGAAGCAATGCTCTATAGCAGCAGTTTTCCATCTGGTTGCAGATTAGAACCAGAGATTTCCAAAACTATTAAAGCCCTTCCCTTCTTTTTCAGTTGGTCCAAAGTAAGGGTAGGAGTGGTGGCATTTTTTTTTTTTAAGTGTGACAATGTATTCATTAATCCATTCAATCTGCCAAAGTAGGTCTGGGTATCTACTTTGTGTCCTTCCCTGCCCTGGGGCTGCAGATACAAAGGTAGGTGGGACCTATGTTTGCTTTCCCTGGACACAGGTGACTGGCCTGGCTGGGTGGAGTCTGCTGTTGGTGGAGGAGGGGAGGCTGGGTGAGCTCTGAAAAGAGCAAGTTCATTTTCTTCTCAGATGCTGCTGCTGCTGCCTGGCTGCCCTCTTTGTAAGGTCTTCAGCCTCACCCTAGAGTACTGTTTGTTTGAACCCCCAAGCTCCTTCTCAGAAAACCACAGATTGTCAAAGTTAAACAGGGCATGAGAAATGATCTATGTCCTGAGCCCTTGAACTTTCGTAGGCAGCTGACAAAAGTCCTGGGGATCGTGTTAAATCTAAAGATGCCGGGAGCTCATCGCAAAAGGTCTAAACCACAGGTCTCCGCTGGGGCCTCAGGAACATGTCTATTTTAAAATGCTAAAAATGGCTCTGGCACACTTTTAAGCCAGGGTTCTCGGTCTTGGCTGTAGCAGAGGCGGTCCTGGGAAGTTCTAAAAACATCAATGCCCTGGCCTCATCCCTGGAGAGTCTGATCAGTATTTTTAAAAACTTCCTGGTGATTCCACTAAGCAGCAGGTGGAGGCCCCCCTGACTGCAGGGCATATGGGGCTTTCCAGCTGGCCTTGTACAGACACTGGGGAGGCAGCCCAGGACAGCCACTCCTTGCCACCATCGCAACTTTGATACAAGAGCAGAGAAAAATAGGAGGAGGGTGGAGACAAAAATTTAAAAGCCACGGAGAGGGTGGAGAAAGGGAGAAACCAGAAGGCTGGATAAGAAGTTCCTACTGAACTCACCTCCCAGCTCCCTAAGGCTTACATTCACTTTTTTTCTTTATTATATTAATAGTTAAGTGATATAAAAAATTGGAAGTATAAGAGTATATGAAAACAAGAAAAAGCATCTGTAATCTTGCATCAGAGATAATCACGTAAAATCTTAGCATGACATACATTTTAGCTTGTTATTTTAGTATTGTTATAACTTATATTGTTATAATATTTTATGCTGAGAGCCATAGCCAAGTAGGAATGACGCATGGCAATTTCCTTGTCAGCCTACCTAAAGTTGCTTAGAGGGAGGACTCTCCATTGTGGAAATGGGCTTGCCTTGGACCCAGGTCATTTGCAGTGACATTGCATGAATGCTTGAGAGTTTTGGTTTGAAAGGTGACCTTGCTCAGGGATTAGGGCGGCTCCGGGTTTAGGGTGGATCCTGCTGGATTAGGGTGGCTCCAGGTTTAGGGTGGATCCTGCTGGGATAGGGCGCATCCTGCTGCCTCAGGTGCCTACTCCTTGAGTTCCCATTGAGTTCTCACGGGATTCAGAGGTATTTGATATGCAGAGCCTGGTGGAGGATGTGTATTTTTCCCAGAACGTTTGAGTAGAGTGCCGGTGAGAGTTCAGGAATAAAGAGTTGCTGTTTGAATCTACAAGGCTTTTGTGGTGGCTCGGTTATTTTGTGCCCAGACAGACTGGTGCAATTTTAGTATTGTATTATATAATATATAATTATATAATCTTTAATCTTAACATGGGACATTAGTATCCTTTTTACTTTATTTTCCTGTTTTGCTTTTATGTAATGTTTCAAAAGGTTTTGGTTTTCATGTAATTAGAAATCTAAGTGCTAAACCATCATGCTGAGTTTGGGAGGGCTTGAGAGGGGTGGAGATGGCACCTACCCTCCCCCAGGTGTGATCACCCATTCATGTGTACTCACATGCAGGGGCAGAAGCTTCTATGCCCACTCTGCAGCCCTGGACACCCTGCACTCAAATGTGCACTTGGCATCATACTTTCAAAGTTATTAGTAGAATTTCATATTTAAGTATTGAAAGATTTCTCTCTCTTTCCCAGATCTCTAAATTCTAGGGAAAAACAGTACCAGGATACCCAGGAGAGTGGCCATATTAGACACAATGGGTCTCTGTTCCTGAGCCTGCTCACAGTCTCTCCTTACTTCTGTCTCCTCTCCCATGCCCTGGGGTCCCAGTTGCTGTTCTCAGCCTTGGATTGAGGCTGGTGCAGTGGATACAGGTTGTTTCTCCACAGGTGGCAGGTCATGGCAGTGTTCATAGTGGATCTGACAGGTAGGATGTGGACAGCAGTGTGGCCACTTTGGTGATGGGGTGTGGTTCAGCACTTTACTCAGCATGAACCTGTACAGCAGCTGGTGGAACTGCAGGGCTGGCTCCGAGGGACAGGGTCTATGTGCTGCCTGAGAGCTGGGCCCCTCCACCTTTCTGCAATACTCCAGCCCAAAGAATCAAGTCCCAAGGCCCTAAAGGAGCTCTGAGTAGTCTTCCATCCTGTTACCTGCATGTACCTGATCTGAATGATCTGCTTCTGGGGCCTGATGCTTTTCCTCCTCCTGCACTGCTTCTGCTACAACCACCACGTGTCTTACTAGATCAGGTTTGTGGGCTGCTAGGAAGAACATCATTATGGTCTAGCTTATGGTAAGTTAAAGGGCATATGTCTAAGGGGTGGGACCAGGGGCCACCTGGCCACCCTCCCAGGTCTTTCCACCCCAAGTAGAAGGCATAACCCTGGAGAGATGATGGTAGAAACACTTAACAGAGGTTGTGCCTCAGCATCTGGAGGAGGCCCTCTGGCATAAGGACTCTTGATTACCAAGAGGGAGCCCTGTGAATTAAAATGTGGGATAGTCATTATGGTCCTGAGGGCCAGGGGGAGCTGGTGGGAGGGGAGTGGAGACTTGGAGAGAATGGAAGAAGAGGGCTGGTTGGGATTCCAGGCAGGCACCAAGGGTTTTCTCCAGTCTTGCTTCTCTGAACCACCTTCAACCCTGGCCCCAGTGTCTTGCCTGTTTTCTGGATTCTAGGGATTTATTTTCTTCACACCACTCAGTTGGCACCTGGAGGACACTGTCCAATATTGGTAATCTCTTCTAAGTGGGAGGCTTTCCTCCTCCTAGGTGTATGTGACTTCTGGAGGTCAGGCTCAGGTATGACCATCTTTTCATTCTCCCACAGTGGCCAGGTACATAACAGGTCCTAGAGAGGATGATGTCTTACCTAAGCTGACAGTAACCAACCTGGAAGGACCACATTATGAAGGCAGGAGCCAGAGATTCCTGGGCCATTTTTATCCACAGGGAGCCAGTCCATCTGCTCCAGCCTTACCTCACGGGGTTGGATTGGTGTACTCTGGTCTCCTGTGCAGATCTACACAGGGGCAACTGGCACTGGGATGCCCCCTGTTTGAAGCCTTAGCTTTTGTCTGCTGGAGCCATAGGGATGAAGTTCATCCACCTCATTTTATTTCCAGGGGGTGGAGCTGCAAATGCAAATGTCTGATTTCTTGTGGACTGACTCTCAAGGAAACAAAAGCCTGATCTTTGATTAAAAAGCTACCATGCTCAATTGCTTATTGCTTTCTTTGCATGTCACTTGCATGTGAGACAAGGGATAGACCTTCCTTCAACCAAGTCCCTCACCCAATATCATTCTTCTCATCTGCTCAATATTTCAGCCACCTCCCTGTGATTGACTGGATTTGAAGGAAAATTACCCAATTATTTCCAATGCTCTAGAGTGACAACCTAATCCAACCTTTCCTGCCAAGAACACTTGTCCTAGAAGCTTCCAGGAGAGAGCTGCCCTGCGTGCCTGCCTATGCACCTTTTTGTCTTTCTTTGCTTCTCACTGTCCATTTGCTCATTTTCTGACTTTCTGTCTTAGTTTTTCCTAGTTTTCTCTCCTGTGTTGGACATTCCTTTCACTGGCCCTCCCTTCCCCCATCCTCTTTCCTCCCATTACCCACGGCTTCCAGGGCTTCCTTTTCCCCAGGCCTCACGCTCTCCTCACTGCAGGCAGCAAGGTTTCTCTACCAGGGTCTGATGGTGCATGATATGTGGAGGCAGAGAGGCCGAGGGATAGGAAGAAGGGGGAGCAGGGCTCCCAGCTGGTCTGCTTTTCTCAAATGATAAAAGTAGCAACACTAGCTGGGGAATCCAGGCTGCTGCTTGCAGGGCCCTAAAGTTTCCTCTCACCAAGGGTTCCCCTGGTCTGCAAGAGACTTGTGTGTGTGTGGGGGGAGGGGGTTACTGAGGATCAAACCCAGGGTCTCAGGCATTCATGCATGCTAGGCAAGTGCTCCACCCTGACCTATACTCCCAGCCCTGCTAGATCCTTGGTGTCTGGTGTTTGGAGGGAGCCCCTTCATGGATTAGTTCAGGGTTTGTGTTATGGTTTGGATGTTAGGTGTGCCCTGAAAAGCTCAGGTATGAGGAAATGCAAGGTTTAGAGAAGAGATGATCGGGTTATTAGAGCCTTAATTCAATCAGTCAATCCATCCTCTGATAGGATTAACTGAGTGGTGGCTGGAGGTAGGTAGGGTGTAGCTGGAGGAGGTGGGCATTGGGGGCGTGCCTTTGGGGTTTGTATTTTATATCTGGTAGGTAGAGACCCTCTCTGCTTCCTGATCATCAAGTGAGCTGGTTTCCTACCTCCCTCACTCATCCACCATGCCTCACTGCAGGCCCTAGGTATGGAATCAACCTTCTATGGACTGAGACCTCTGAAACTGAGCCCCTCAGATAAACTTTTCCTCTCCTACAATTGTTCCTTTTAGTGTCTTTTAGTCACAGCAGTGAAAAAAGCTGACTAAGACAGTTTGGCTCTGTGGGGGCTGGCCCTCATGTGATAGCTCAGCTCCCCGGCTAGGATCCCATTTATGCCTCTGGTCTTTGCATCCTATGAACCAGATCTGTGTCTGTAGGACTGGTAGGGACCTTTGGATTTCTTCAGTGCCTTTCTGTAACCAGGATTGTCCCCAATCGAGGCAAATACTGACTTTGGAAATGAGTTCATTATTCGTGAACACAGACCCTGGAACAGGCTTCTTGTTGCCATGACCCTTCCTTATTTGGAACTCAAGCTTGATAGATATTTCACAAAGCCCTAGAACTTCATGACTCAGAGATAAAGGCAGCAGACAGTGGAGGTGGGTGGGGAATCTGGGCAGGAGTGGCCTGGTGCTTCCTGGAAGAGTCCTACCTCCCAGTCACCCTGAAGAGGGGAAGGGAAAGTGTCCCTGTCTGTTGTCAAAGTCCAGTCTCCTGTGTGACTCAGACAGAGCTTCGTCCAGCAAAAACTAACCCCTCCTCTCTTTTTCATGTCAAAATTCTGGGCACCCCTTCCTTGCTGGTCATTTGAGCATGAGGTCTTCTTCCCAACTGGCTGCTCTCTAACTCTTCCCTCCTGTCAGGGAAGGAAGAAGAAGGGAGGGGGCTGTGTCATGGACAGAGGCTAGAGAATCATCAACTGAGACAAAAGCAGAGGAAGTGACCACTTTTTTTGTTAAGTTGTATTTTATTTCCAGTGGACATAATAAATGCACATATTTATAGGGTACCATGTGCTGTTTTAATTCTTGCATACCTTTTGTAATGATCAAATCAGGGCAATTAGCATGGCCATCACCTCAAACATTTGTCATTTCTTAATGGTGAGAACATTCAAATTCTTCTAGTGATTTTGAAATACACAATGCATTATTGTCTATTATTGTCACCTTATTGTTCGATATAACAGCAAAACTTAGTGCTGTCGAATTGTAACTTTGTACCTGTTAATCAACCTCTCCCCATACGGCACTCCTTCTGATACCTGCACTCCTGTGTTCATTGCAGCACTTTTTACAAGTACCAATAGGGAATCACTGCAAGAACTGGGATACTGTTCAGCCTTAAAAAGCAGAAATCCTATCATTTGTGTCTCATGAATTAAGCAAGGCACAGAAATATAGATACTGTGTGATATCACTTACATGCAGAATCTAAAACAGTTGCTCTCATAGAATTAGAAAGCCGAAGGGGGGAAGTTACTTGTTTTCTATGGGAAACGGTAACTGGAGGTTGCAGGAACTCACCATGATTCCGTAGGGAGGCAGGCCAGACCATGGTGATAGCAGTTTCCATTTATTGAGCACCCATTCTGTGGTATTTGCTTTCCATTTACTAGCTTAATAATGATAACTACTATCCTATGCAAGATAGATATTATTATCTCATTTGATAGACCAGGGAATTGAGGCTCAGAGGGGTTAAAAATTGCCCAAAATTACATAGCCAAAATGCAGGTCACCTGGGATCCAAAATACATCCTCTTCTCTCTCCGCTGGCCATTCATTCAACAAGTCTTTATGCAACATCTGTATGCACCTGAAGCTGAGGCGACAGTAGGAGACAGCAGGGACACAGATGGAGGCACTTTCATTCTAGTGGTGCCATCTCTCCTGGCCAGAGTTCTTAAGGGCTCAGCCCCAAAGTTCAGCTCTCCCCCAAGAGGCAGTGTCTCTGCTAACTCTTGAGTGCGAGGAGTGGTACCAGCACTGGGTAGGAAGCGGATTCCAATGCCACCAGCTATGTGTGGGTCAGTAGCCCTTCTTGTACATCCGCATTTTTCCCTGTGCAGGAAGGGGCGGGCTATATGCTAAGCTCCCTTGACCTGTACATTGGCACCCGCCTGCAACTTCTTTCAGCCTCAGAGCCTCAGGCCCAATCTAGACTTCCGGAGAATCATAACGTGCATTTTAATAAGACCCTCTAGGTGATTCATGCACACACTGTAATTTGAGAAGCTCTGGCGAAGTCTGGCTTCTTTACCTTCTCTCATTTTAATAACCTCTGGCTGGGGCAGTTGCTCACCGGCAGGGGGCGCCGTAAGGGAGGGATTTCAAGGTGCAAGGCCTATACCCAGGTGAATCCTTCCCTTTCTCCTCCCTTCTGGACCTACCCTGCTAGCTAACTTGACTGACTCCTGGGATCCTCGGCTTCTACCTTGACTCGATTGGACTTTGCCAATAGAAAAGGACACTCTCCCCCACTCCTTATGGACGCTGGGAGGCAGAGTCGGCCAGGAAGCTCTAGGCCACTCCTACCTGATTCTCCGCCCACCTCCACTTGTAGGCTGGCCTGGCTGACCGAGTCTGGCTGACCTGTCTATTTCTCAGAGAAGGAACTACTGTTCCGGGACAAGCCAGCAACCTCTGGGAGGAATTAGCCATAAAGGTGAGCCCCTTTCTGGGGCACCTGGAGGTGGGTGGGCACTGCAACGGGGTCACCTGGACTCAGGGGAGGGGCGAGGCCAGAGTGTGGGGATCTTCTGTGGCAGGAGAGGAAAAGGGCCCCTGCCGCTGGGTGCTGCTGGGCTGATCTGTGCACTGTAGAAATGTGGGCATCGCTAATGAGCGCTGGCTGTGACTCAGCCGCGGCCTCACTCATCCCAGTGCTTTTATGTCCAGTAATGATAACTGGAGACCTAGCAGATGTTGGGACGTGCGGTGAGAACAATGAGGGAGAAGGGTTGAGTTTAACAGATCTGAGCAGCACTTTGCAGCAGGACTCTGGATCTTTGTGCTGGAGAAAGCAACTACCTAGGGACAGGCGATGGCGGGATTCTCAAGGGCCCTCATTTTAGGGAAATGCTATTCAGGACAATCTGGGGCCTGGAGCAAGACAAACTGGAGGAATGAGTGGGTGTGTGTGTGTGGGGGGGCCGGTATGGAGTTGGGAGGCTCCAAACCATACTTGAATAACTGTAGTGCTGCAGGTTCTGTTCAGCAAAACTGGGGACCCTTTCCCCTCCTGGGGCTAGAGGGAGGATGGACTGAGGGTCAATGCAATCTGCAAGAGCTCTCAGCCTGGGGCCCCAGGGCTGAGTTGGGGGAGGAGCTAACCTGCTAGGTAAATGAATGGTCTCCTCTTGAAGGGCCCCTGAGGCTTTGGGGGTGGTACATACATACCAGCTACTCTGGGTGGGGACGCTGGGCCAAGGGACATCACTGCACCACCCAGTGAGGTGGGGAGGATTTGGACTCTGGTCTTGGGAGGCCCCAAGAAGGTTGTTGCTGTAGAAACGAAGTGGATCCCCCCTTCCCTTCCCACTAGCTGGCCGGTCCCCTGACACTAGTGCATTGGTGGGCAGGAGGTAAAGGACATCACTCATGGAACCAAGGGCATGCCGTTAGGTCCTTCTATTTCTTTTTACTCTATTTCTATTTCTTTCTTGTCCAGCTTCATTCCCTCTAGAGGAGGAAAGAAAGGCCTGGGACAAAAGGATGGGCGGGGAGGGTGAGGGGTGTTTCTGAAAGTCCTTGTCATCCTGGCACATCCTTCCTTTCTGTCTTCAGTTGGTGCTTAATAGTCCCTGTCCGTCCTGATCTATGAAATGAGATACAAATAACACCAGCTCTTTGAGGATCAAATGAGATGAGCCATGGAGAGGGCAGCGGTGCAGAGTGAAGCTCCATAAATGATAGCTATTATCAGAGTTAAAATTATGAATATAGAAGAACCAAAAGAAAGGGATGGAACCTGAGGAGTAGCTCGAATCCATCTTCCCACCAGATGTGGGGCACTGTCAGCTCACCTGAGTCACCTGTGTGCCCTGCAGGCAGGCTGGCTGAAGAGGCTGGTGCACTGACCACAGGGTCAGGTTTTAAGGCACAGGGGGCAATGCAAGCCTCCCTTCTGATCCACATCTTCAGTGAGGAAGCCGGGTAAAGAGGCCCCGCCTTGAGTCCATCCCGAGGACATAGAGGAGCTTCTGCCCTGTCGGAAGAGGGTGGGAAGGGGGCTTAGTTTTCCTGGGGAAGGAAAGAAGGTAGGCAAAACCTCAGCTCCAGGTGGGTGGTGTGAGAGAAGGAGCAGGACGTAATGGATGCCAGAACTTTTTCAGTGGAGATCCTGGTGAATCAACCCCAGGGGATTCTGAGGACTTGGAAGGAGCACATCCTGCCTCACAGATCTCAGCCGCCAAGTGAATGAATTCCACTCCCTCAGCAGCTCCTTGAGAGCTGAATAAGACGTCATCTTTGACAGGACCGAACTTCCCACAGTGCCTGATACACAGCCGGTGCTCAGGAAATACTCATTTGGGAGAGCTGCATGTGGCGGCAGATGATCAAGAGCTGCTCAGGCTGATGGGATGGCGATGGAGAGAGATGCGAGTGGGGGAAGAGACTGCCAAGGGAGGGTTGGTGACCCAGAGAGGTTCTACTGAACAGGAGGGCTGCAGAGGGGACACAAGGCAGGTGGGGAGAAGTGGGAAAAGTGGGAGCCAGAATGAACCCGTCCCATAGAGTGAGGGGGTGTTGGAAATCAGGGGGACTCGAAGGTGGATTAAGGAAGAGCTGGCATTTCTACTAGAGGCTGCTGGGAAGTCTTCTGTGAGGAGCAGGCCCCCACCTTTGTTTTTCTTTCTTTCTGCTTCTTTCACTTTTAACTTTTGTTACTCATGTTATATTGTGTGTTTGCCTGGGAGCTACCTTGGGAGTTTCTGGCAGAAGGAGGGGCATAAAGAAACAAACACATTTGGACAGTGCTTATCATCCACGAATGATATCACAGGACTTCCCTCCATCCTCAGGATCGCCTGGGACATTTCCCTTCCACCTTTAATAACTTTGGAAAAGAATGATAAAGTTTACATAAAATACGGGTTTGGTGCCATTCGTAGTCCTTGTTCACATCTTCCGCCCTCTCAATTTTCCATGGCCTTTAGTTGTGACCAATGGGAAGATTTTTGGGGGTATCCTTCCAGACCTGCACTGTCTTAAGACAGCAGTCACTAGTACATGTGGCCACTGAGCACTTGAACTACAGCAAGTCCCAGCTGAGATGTGCCTTAAGTGTAAAATACACACGGAATTCACAGACTTGGTGTTGGAAAAAGAATGGAAGATATCACAATAAATTTATATTAATTGACTGCTGAAATAATATTTTGAATGTATTGGGTTAAATAAAAATAGCATTAATTTGTCCTATTCCTTTTTTAATGTGGCCACCAGAACACTTAAATTTACATATTTGGCTTGCATTTTGTTTTTATTGCACATGACGACTCCAAATCTTTCTCTGCACATTTATATCTACACACACACACACCCATAAACCCATATCTATACGTATACACTTATCTTTTTTGCAGTGCTGGGGATTGAACCTAGGGCCTCTCACATGCTAAGCACATACTCTACCACCGAGCCATGCCCCCAGCCTGTGCCTTTTTTTTTTTTTACATTAATGAGATCAAAGGAGGCCTATGTGTGTCTTGCTTTTTTCACTTAAGATTTTGCTGTATCAGCCACTTGCAGATCAAGATAAAGTCCTCTTTTTCCTCCTTTTTTTTTTTTTTTCTTTTTGGTGATGTTGGGAATTGAACCCAACACCTCACTCATGCTAGGTAAGCACTCAACCACTGAGCTACATCCATAGCTTCCCCCCACCCCCCACCTTTTACATTTTATTTTGAGACAGGGTTTTGCTAAGTTGTTGAGGCTGGTTCTAAATTTGTGATACTCTGACTCAGCCTCCTGAGTTGCTAGTATGCCACCACACCTGGCCAGGGTAGATATTTTGACAGGTGAAGAAACTGAGGTATACTAATCAGATAAGCATACCCAGCCACAATGCCCTAGATAGCATTTGAACTCATTGTCTAAATGTAAACTCTTTCTGCCTCAGAGTTTATCTTGAAGTACTAGGTCATGAAAAGTTTGTCAGAGAGAGAGAGAGAGACAGAGAGAGAGAGATGGGGGAGGTGAAGGTCTATGAAAGGAATTGATCCGGCAGCTGTGCTGGAATGTGCTCCTTCACTGCAGCCACATGGAAGCCAAGTCTTGGCCTCTACAAGTCTTGACTCAACCCATTTTTTCCTCCAGGCCCTTGGCCTTGACTGGCACTGGGTGCAGGAGAGCCAGCAGCATCTAGTGACCAGGCGGATGTGCCCCCAGGAGAGTTCCTTCCAGCTCTCCCAGTTCCTTCTGCTGGTGGGGATCCCAGTGGCGAGTGCTCTCCTTCTGGTTCAGTGCCTTCGCTGGTATCGCTCTCGCTGGCTGCTGGGGACCTGTCTGAAGCCAGATGGGCAAGAAGAGCCAGTGTCCCCGTCCACTCCACTACCAGAATACGATGCTCCAAGGCAGTGCCCACCAGCCACACTGCCAGAGATAGCTGCCTTCTACCAGCAATTGCACACGCCCACACAGGGCCAGACCATCATCCGACAGCTGATGAACAAACTGTTGGTGTTTTCGGCTCGAGAGGTGGACCACCGTGGCGGTTGCCTGATACTCCAGGATACAGGCATTTCCCTGCACATCCCTCCAGGTAGCCACTCCCAGCCTCCTCCTTGGCATACAGTTGTTGGAACTGTGCATTAGGACACCACATCTGTTCATAGGCATCTTTTTAATTTTGAAAATTGTTTTTCTAGTATAACCTTATTGGATCCAAAGACAGACATATTACTTATCTTTTGTGACAGTTTCCTGGCAGGTGGAAGTAAAGTGCCTTGTTCTAGTGACACTATGCGTTGACAATTCTCAGATAAAAGGAAGAGCACGGTTTGCAAATCTACACAAGGCCCTGTATGGGTTAGCAACAGCCCTGGAAGGATGGGCGCTGACTGTTTTCGTTCATGTGGCCTCTCTGGGCCCTGCTGGGGGCCTCTCCTGGGCTCCTGCCTACCAGCTCTCTTACTCTGGCTGACCTCTTTCTGGGGTAAGGATGCCTGCCTACCAGACCCATCTCAACTCTCCATCTCCCCAGGTGCTGTGGCCGTGGGCCGCCAGGAGCGGGTATCCTTGATTCTGGTGTGGGACCTGTCAGATGCCCCGTCACTGTCCAGGTCTCAGGGGCTGGTGAGCCCTGTGGTAGCATGTGGCCCCCACGGAGCCTCCTTTCTGCAGCCCTGCACCCTCACGTTCAAGCACTGTGCCCAGCAGCCCAGCTACGCCCGCACCTACAGTAGCGACACCTCCCTGCTAGATGCCAAGGCCTGGAGGCCCCTGGGTCGGCCGGGGGCCCACACGTCCCTGGATGAGTGCCGCATCCTCCTCTCCCACTTCAGGTAGGCACCTGCCCACTGGCCTGTCTTCCTGCTCCCATGTCTCTGCCGCTGTCTTTCCTGACTCCTGTCTCTCTGCCTCATCCTCAGCTCTGTCTAGAACTGCCCCTTTATCTATTCAGGATGGTCTGCAAATCCCTGGGTCCCTGGTGTCCCTCTTTGGGCCTCTGTCCCCCTGTCCATGGCATCTTGTTTATTTCCAACATTGTCCAGGGCTGTGCATCCCACTCCTGTCTCTCTGCCTGCCTGGAGGGGGTCTGCTCCATTCCTACCAGGGTCTCTCTGCAACTGTCTCGATTTGTGTCTCTGTCCAGTACTATCTCCAAACTACTGAGGCCAGTTTGTCCCCTCCAGTTTCAACTCATGTTTGTCTTCCATCTCTGACCTTCTGGAATGTTAAGGTGTCTGATTCCCCATGTTCTTACCTCTTGTTGATGAGAGCAGGGCCATTTGTGGGGCCCCTCACAAGCATGGGGATCCTGAGCCTACCTTCCCACTCTCCCTGCCACAGAATACTCATTGGCTTTCCTCTGCACTCAATGAGGGGCACCAGGACACATTCACTTTGGGACACCTCTAGCAGCAAGCCCAGCCCTCTCCAGGTCCTCTCCATAGGTCCCTCTGGAGTGCTCTCCGCACCTCCTGGGAGACCTGCACTGGGCCCTTCAGGTGACAGGAGCCTGGTGGTAGATGCACTGGGGTCTGGCGTTTCCCCGCCCTCCTGTGCAGTTCCTGCCACCATCTTCCTCTGCAGCCTGTACACCTGCGTGCTAGAGGCGCCTGTGGGGCAGGCTGCCCGTAAATGGCTGCAGCTGGCCGTCTTCTGCTCGCCGCTGGTGCCTGGGCAGTCCCACCTGCAGCTGCGTGTCTACTTCCTGAACAACACGCCCTGTGCCCTGCAGTGGGCAGTGAACAACGAGCAGCCCCACGGTGGGCGTCTGCGTGGGCCCTGCCAGCTCTTCGATTTCACTGGGGCCAGAGGTGACCAGTGCCTGAAGCTCAAGTACATTTCTGAGGGTGAGGCGGGTGGGGCCTGGGAACTGGAAGCAGGGAGCCCCATGAGAAAGACGGGTCCGTGGCCCCCCCCTGGGCTGGGAACCTGGGAACCCTAAGTTTCTTTCCTGGACTCCTGGGCCAGCAGCAGCAGTAGCAAGGAGACCCCCTGGTTTCTGCTGCTGCTCAGGAGCTTCAGGCTTTGTCCTCTTCCTCCCTCTGCTGTGTGCCCAGCCCTTGCTACCCACCCAGGACAGGGTGATGCCAGGTGGGAGGTGGGTGGTGTGGTACCCTGAAGGAATGCGGGAGGGGAAGATGGAGGCTTTTATTGTCCTCCTGGGTGGAACTGGCACGGGAGAGGGCCTCCAGTCTTTCCTTGGACCCTCTTGCCCTTATGCTAGGGCTGCTGGCATTGCCCAGGGCAAATGCCACACTATATTTGTGTGGTTGCGGGCAGGGCACACGGTGGTGGTGCACGGCTGCTTCGGGGCTGGATGGGGGATGAAGGCTGCAGGGAGAGGGAGAGGAGGGAGAATGGGGTACAAGGCCCCTTTGGTTCCCTGCCCAGGTTCTGGAGATTTCCATCCACTGAGACCCTCCTCCTCACTTTACTCTTCCCACAACTTCCTTTAAGATTTGTGGAAGGCCCCACCTTCTGAGCCCCTCTGCCCTTTCTCCCCTCCCCAGGTTGGGAGAATGTGGATGACAGCAGCAGCCAGCTGGTTCCCCATCTCCACATCTGGCATGGAAAGTGCCCCTTCCGCTCCTTCTGCTTCCGGAGAAAAGCAGGTAGTCCAGGAGCCCGAAACCCTTCTGCTCCCACCCACCAACAACCCTGATATTCTGCAGCTCCACACTGGGCTGTGCACACAGTCTTTCTGTTAAGGGAGTCATTGCAGATCTTTGCAGTATCCAGCCTCTGCTTCTTCAGAGCCCTAGTGTTCCTGTAGAGTCCCTTTGACTTCTCCCCCCCTCTCACCCCAAGTCTTTTCCTCTCACATCTGTCACTTTCTACCTCCTCTTTTTAGTCAATGAGAATGAGGACTGCTCAGCATCAACCAATGAGATCATTGTCACCATGCACACCTTCCAGGATGTGAGTTGTTATTGAGGGGCAGAAGGAGGGGAGGGCCTGGGACAAGGTCCAGGTAAGGTGGGCCAGGGGTCTGGTACCTGCTGAGTATGGTCCTAATCACATAATCAAGTAGATAAAGATGCCATTTTCCACAGAACAGACATCTCACTCCCTTGTCTGTCAATGGAGGAATCCAGCGGGGAACAGAACCAGATGGTAGATTAGCCCTTCTCCCACCTCAGGGATTGAGGCAGCAAGGAGACCTGGTATCTCCTAGGTGCCTACATCTGAGAGACGAAGCCTGGTATCTCCAGTGGGAGAGTGAACAGGAAGGGGGCCTGGAGTAGGTAGGAGGGAGTTAGTTCTTTCCTCCATCTCACAGCCTCAAAGGACTATATGAAGAAATCAGGGGGATTTCATCTTAGTGGAAGGTAGACAGGGACCCTGATGTTGTCTCCTGGGAGGAAGGTGGGATGGAGGGAAGGGGGCACAAGCGCCTGAGTTTGGTATCTCCCCCCACGCCATGACCGCATCCAGGATTTCTCATGGTAGCTTAGGATGCACCCTGTATGGGTCTTCGTGTTCCAGTCCCCAAAGAGCTCAGTGGTTCAACTTGAGGTTGAATGTGGGGTTCTGGGGTCAGTGAATTAGAAGGAAGAGAGGGCTGGGTGGGGCATTATCTCCTGGTAAAGTGGCTCTGGGTCACAGGCTGAATCAGAGACACAAGAAATGGGGGTAGGCTCTCAGCTTCTTCCAAGGGGAATGTCTTATGACCCCAAGTGTATTCATTGCCCTTCCCTGAACTCAGGGCTTGGAAACCAAGTACATGGAGATCCTCAGATTCCAGGCATCAGAAGAAGAGTCCTGGGCAGCACCACCCCCTGTCTCCCAGCCGCCCCTGTGCAATAGGTGAGGTGAGGGGTGACCTTTCTGCCTGGGGGATGTTTGGGATTCCTTCCCCAGCACCTACAGGGCAAGTACAGCGTTTGGGGGTCTCTTTGATCCTTCCCTCCAAGAACACTCTTCCCCCCTGGCTCAGGCTGCCCCCAGAGCTCTTTGAGCAGCTGCAGATGTTATTGGAGCCAAACAGCATCACAGGCAATGACTGGAGACGACTGGCCTCTCACCTGGGGCTCTGTGGCATGAAGATCCGGTAAGAAGGGCAAGATCTGTGGATGGAAGTAGCCGGTGGGTAGGGGTAGGGAATCCTCAGGGTAGGGAATCCTCCCTGGGAACTGGACCACAGATAAGGGGATGACTTAAAACATAACAGTAGCTACTCCCTACCCTCTTTTCCGTAGAAGGGTAGCTCCACTGATCACTGTATCCTCAGTACCTAGAGTAACACCTGGCTCTTAGTAGGTCACAATAAATGAGTTAACAATGAATGTTATCATGCAAGTCACTGGGTGCTCGTGATTACTAACAGGTAGTGTGTGTAAAGCATGGGGCTATGCACCTGGCATGTGTTCACTCAATAACTCGCATTTGTGGTGGCAGTGCAGCCACAGTCCCTGTCAAAGGAATTCACAAAGAAATCTGAATAATAGAAAAATAGAATAATTCTGAACCAGGTCCCAGAACCCAGGCTGTGAGTGCAGGAGTCAGGGAAGGCTTTCCCAGGAGATGGGGCAACAGCTGGACTTTGAAAATGGTGGGTTTAAAAACCAGCCACTTATTTAAGCATTTCTTCAAGACCCACTATGTCCTGCTAGCACTGCGATACAAGAATGACAGCCGGTCCCAGCTCTCAGGAGCTCATATCCTGTGTAGTAAGGGATGCAGAGAGTTTTAAAAATAAAGTCAAGTGATCTTTGTGCCTGCTTGTGTGCATCTAAGTTGCCTACCACACTGGGAAAATACACAATAGCTGAAGAGCTAGCTATGACCAGAGGAACCTGCAATTAGGGCTTCAGGGAGGAGGGGTGGGAAGAGAAGAGAGCCATTGTCTGAGGGGAGCAGCAGAAGTGGTTGTGGGTGTGGTGTGTGCAAGGTGGGACAGGGACAGGCCTCAGGAAAGGAGGCTCAGGGTGGGAGGAGGGGAGTGAGGGTCAGAAAGGCAGGGCTTCACCAGGGCGGGGGTGAGCCAGAAAGTCAGGAGCACTGGCTTGTTTAGTGGGCAGAAGACTCTGGAAGATTTTTGAGCAGCAGAGGGTCATGATAAAAGCTATGGTTTAGAGCAACTGTTTCCTTTCTGGTGGGTAGAATGTTGTGGCCTGGGAGACAGAGAGGGGAGCCATTAAGAGTCTGGGTGAGGCAGGAGTGTGTTTGCGATGGGGGAGGTGAAAGCAATCACAGAAATCAGAGCAAGCTCAGAGGTCCTTTTATCCAAGCAGCTGAGGCCCAGAGAGGAGCAGAACGTGGGAGTTAGCTTCTGAGCCCCAACAATCTGAGGTTTTAAAATCCTGGGGCCTCAGGCCACTCAAGTCCCCTAGACCCCAGGGAGAGCAGGAGGAGACCCAGAGCTAGGGTGGGAAGGAGGGGGTCGCAATTGTGCCTGGAGGAGAGGGGGACCCCTCCCCAGCTCGCTCCTCCTGGCTTGGGCCAGGTTCCTGTCCTGCCAGCGCAGCCCCGCCGCCGCCATCCTGGAGCTGTTTGAGGAGCAGAATGGCAGTCTGCAGGAGCTGTACGACCTCATGACCGCCATGGAGCGGCTGGACTGCGCCTCGGTCATCCAGAACTACCTGAGCCAGACACCCAGAGGCAGCCCAGCCCCCGCCCGTGGGAGCACCCTGGAGAACCAGGGCTTGGAGCTGGACGAGAAGCTCTGAGCGTCTGCTCTCGGGGGCGGGGGAAGCCGGGGGTGTGCTCCTCTGCCCAGAAAGAAAATGGCAGCTCGATGGACGTGCCCGGAGTCCTCTTCAGAAGCCATAGTCCATGACCAAGGCCATCCAAGATACCAGAGCGCTCTCACCCGCGGGCTGCACCCCGACCGCCCCTGCGCCCACGAACTTTGTTCTGCATGCAGGTCCTCTCTTGGCCAGCAGGGGGCGCGGGAGCCCAGGAGATGGCCCCAATCCGGCCAGCCTCTTAGAAGCTTATTTCATAGACCAGTGGTCTGCCAGGTTGCCCCATGGGCACCGCATAGCAACAGTTTAGTCTACAAGGGTTCGCTGAACACTTAGTAAGACCCAGCACTGGCCTGGGGCACTGGCGAGTACTGGAGTATCTGAGGTGAGGCCTCGAACCTTGACCAGCACAGGTTCCTTTCAGGAATCAAGATGACCTTCACATGAGCTGAGGGCAAACTCTAAAAATAGCAGGTACCTGTGGTTAGGGGGTGTGATGGTCTGCTATGGATTGTGCTTTGTTTTAGGAGTCAAGAAGGCAGGGACGTTGAATATGGCCCTGGGATAAGGAGAGGGTTTTAGGGAGGATGTTGGGTGGTGTTCAGTTGGATTTAGGGGAAAGAGCTCAACTGTGCACAGTAGGAGCCAAGAGCAAGCACAGAGGACCTGAGACATTAAAGAGCTGCCTGGGTGGGCATGAGGGAGGGTGGCAGGAAGGTTTTAGAGCTGGGCAGTCACATCTGCTGTCCACAATCTCCCCTCGCTTCCTTTGCCTCTCATGTTCCAGCTCATGCCTGTCTTCCCCTCTCTGCAGTTCTCTCTCTCATAAAGCATTCAAGCTGAGAAGAAGCTGCAAGATTAACATTCTTGCCCAGTCTTTATATCTCTTCACCTCCAACTGTGTGAGTTTTAAGTCTCTGACTTCATTTTTTTGTTTTTTGCCTCTATTTCCTGCTGTTGTTCCATCTCTAAATCTGCTCACTGACTGCCTTAGCATCTTTTTTCTCTACCCAGTTCCTGTGCCCTGTCTTTGTGGGTTTCTTTCTGTATTTGAAATCCTCAATCATTCCCCTCAGGCAAATGTATCCAAACCAATGTTACGTATATTGGAAGAGACAGGGCTACCCCAGGAATGAATGGGGCTATTTTACCCATGAAACAAGACCCAGATTAGGGTCAGAAAATAAAGAAAGGGGTAGGTCGAAAAACTTCCCACTCAATCAACAAATACTTATTTAGCACTTACTGTGTGTTAGACACTGTATACAAAAGAGATGGATAGGCTGGGCCCTGAAAGGAGAACAGAGGATTTGACTGGATTCTAGCAATGCTTTTGTTTGCAAACAGGTGTTGTTAATCTGTTGAAGGGACAGCAGTCTCTCTGGCAACCCTAACAGTTTGCTTCTATACTTAATTAAAAATATTAATGCTTTTTTTATAATGAATGCTATTGTATAGTAAAGTATGAAAATTGCCTTTTCATAAAAACAGACACATAGATCTATGGAACAGACTAGAAGGCAAACAAACACACACAGATACAGTCCTCTGATCCTTGACAAAGATGCCAAAAACACATTGGAGAAAAGAGAGCCTTTTGAACAAATGGTGCTGGGAGAACTGATTATCCATATGTAGAAAAATAAAACCAGACCTTCATCTCTCACCTTAAACAGAAGTCAACTCGAATCAAAGGCCTAGGATTTAGACCAGAAACCATGCAACTCCTGGAAGGAAATGTAGGGTCAATACTCCAACACATAGGTGTAGGCAGTGACTTCCTCAATAGGATCCCTGAAGCTCAGGAAATAATACCAAGAGCTCATGAATAGAATGGCATTAAATTAAAGAGCTTCTGCAGAGCAAAGGATATAAGTTAGAATGTGAAGAGAGAACCTACAGAATGGGAGAAAATCTTTGCTAGCTACTCTTCTCAAAGATGATTAATATCCAGAATATATAACAAACTCAGAAAAACTTAACACCAAAAAACAAAATAAAACAAACATCCCAATTTTAAAAATGGGCAAATTAACCAAATAGACACTTATCAAAAGAAGAAATACAAATGGCCAACACATATGTGAAAAAAATGTTCAACACTAGCAATTAGAAAAATGCAAATCAGAATGACACTGAGATGTCATCTCCAGTTAGCATGGCAACCATCAAGAATACAAACAAAAATAAATGCTGGAGGAGATGTGGAGAAGAAGGAACACCTCCTTTTTCCTTGGGTGCTGGGAACTGAAACCAGAAGCATTTTACCACTAAGTCACATCCCAGCCTTTTTAATTTTGATACATGGTCTCACTAAATTGCTTAGTGAGACCTCAGCCTCAGCCTCAGCCTCCAATGTTGCTGGAATTATAGGCATGTGCCACAGTGACCGACTGAGAAAAAGGAACTTTTACGCTGTTGGAGGGATTGTCAATTAGTAGAGCCACTATGGAAATCAGTATGGAGGTTCCTCGAAAGACTAGGAATGGAACCACCATATGACCCAGCTCTACCACTTCTTGGTATTTGTCCTAAAGAATCAGCATACTGTAGCCACACATGCATACCCATGTTTATGGCAGCACAATTCATAATAGCCAAACTATGGAACTAGCCTAGGTGTCCATCAGTGGATCAGTGGATAAATAAAATGTAGTGTCTGAAGGATGGAAAACAGCAACCCCCAGGGGAAAAGGGACCAACAGCCTCCAAGGAGAAAGGAGGACCATGGTTCCCAGAGGGAGCAGGCAAACAATGGGCTCTAGACTTTCACCACTTCCCAGCACAATGGGCTTTGAGTATTCATAACTGCTCCCCCTGAGCTGGGCTTTGAACTTGCACAAGTGTTCCCCCTGAGCTGGGCTTTGAACTTGCACAAGTGTTCCCCCTGAGCTGGGCTTTGAACTTGCACAAGTGTTCCCCCTGACTGGCCAAACGATGCATTCTGCTATGATTCAAGATCCACTTAAACCCTATAAAAATCAGACCCCTCTTGTAACCAGTTTCCATTTTCTCTCCTGAACATGTGCCATTCCCGTTGCTTAATAAAGAAAGCCTTGCTGATCCGATGAGGTCTGTCCCCATTTTGGTTATTTTTGCTTTCAGTACCTGTGTACATGGAGCTTTATTTAGCCATAAAGGAGAATGAAATTATGTCATTTGTAAGCAACTGGGTGGAGCTTGAGGACACCATGTTAAGTGAAGTAAGCCAAACTCAGAAAATCGAAGATCACATATTTCCTCTCATATGTGGAAGTTAGAGAGGAAAAAGGAAAAAAAAAAAAGAAGTTTCAGAAGGTGATCTCATGAAAATTGAAGGGAGACCAATGGAGTAGAAGAACAGGGAGTGGGGAGGAGGAAAAGGAGAAATGCTGGGGAATGCTATCGGCCAAATTATCTGGTCATGTCATGTGCATGTACAAATATGTAACCGTGAATCTGTACAGGGAATTATGTATAATTACAATGCACCAATAAAAAATGTAGAAAAAAAGAAGAAAATTGTCTTTCTTTGTTATTAACTGTATTTTGCTCCGATTGGTAAATTTGGGTATAGATATGAGTAGTTAAATTATACCCATGAATAAGGATTAGAGGGAAGCATTTGGTAGGTTGTGCTTTCGGTGTGAACATTGTCCAGCATGATCAGTCAGGCAGATTCATTTCCCTTTCTGTAGAAGCAAGGCTTCAGAGTTGGGTTCTACTTGTCTTCTCCTCTCTTCTTTCCACCCCACCGGGGCTGCCGGTCACTCTGGGTTGGTTCCTTGGCCTTTATCCCATTGCTTGGCTCAAAATTGACCCATGAAGGCCACCTTTCTCCCCTGACACCCTTGCTCTGTTTTCTTATGGTCTCCCATGGGCTCTTCCCAGCCCTTCAGTCCAGTCTAAAGACATCTTTGCATTCCTTCCTACTCCGAAACAAATCATTTAAAAGGTTTCAGGTCTCCAGGTGTTATAAACAGAAACCGTGGGGGTTTTGGGGATGGGATAGAATGCTTTCTGGTCCAATTCCAATTTCTCAGAATGGGTTCTCAGGGCTGGCAGAGGGATGCTTAGAAATCCTGGGGCAGGTGCAGGCTGGGTGATTCCCATAGAAGGGTCTATTCCTTTCTCAAATCAAACCTGTATGTATTTACAGCACCTAAAGCTGAGACAAGATGTGTTCTAAGGGGTGTTGGGGACTTAATGCTTAGCCATGGCTATCGGGCTGACTCAACAGCTCTCATGTCTGTGGGCATGAGTCTCTCCACCCTTGGAACAAACTGGCCATATTACAGGCTTGTCAAGGGTCCCCTTTGAGTCCACAGACTGTGAAGAGATGGCACACTGATGACCCAAGGAAGACTCACTGAGCCGGAGACTTTTCCTTTGTGTGTTGCCTTTGGATGGAACAATTGATCACGGCTTTATGGCCTCACCTCCAACCCTTTCCTTAATAGGTTACTGCCTGGTCCCTAAAACAATTTCATGACTTCTGCCTTGTGGGTATCATAGTATGAGAAATAGAAAGTCTAGGGGTCCATTTCCAGAATACAGGACTTAGCTTTAAGTGTAAAATGACTTGGGATGTAAGAAAGGCAGCTGCAGAGGCGAGCAGAATGAAAAGTCACGAGCAGTTAACACCCAGGGTACAACTTCACAGCCCCTTGACAAACAGGAGGTGAGAGGGAACCAGCCCGACCAACAGAGAGAAACTGTATATGCCCAAAGGCGCTCAATCCAAGGGGACTTTAGTGCCACAAGAGAACAAAGTGGGGTGGGGGCGGGGAGGTGCAGACAACTAAAGGTATATTTTGTTAGCCAGTAGGAGACAGCAAGACCTAGGTATTGTTTGGGGGGATTGTGCAACCTATACTACCCGGCCAATGAGAAACCAGGGAGGGATCTTATGATCTAGGGGATAAAACACTATTTTTTTTTACCCAATCTGTGTGTCCCTGACCACCAGGCACCAGATCTTGCAAGACCATTACTAAAGTAGAACCTCCCTTTTTGCTGTTCCTTGTGTCTCTGGGTCCATTCTTTGGGCTTGGATAGGTGAGCATGTTTCTCACAACTGAGGCCCACATCTGAACTTCTGCCTGTTGGGATCAGAGTGTGGGTTGGTTTGGGGGTTGAGGAAGTAGGTGGGGGTCTAGTTAGAGCCTCCAGTGCTCAGGGATACCCTGTGCTCAGCATCGCTTCCGACTGCTGAGTGGTATTCATGCTGATGTCCGGATCTGCAGTGTCCAACAGAAGTACAATGAAAGCCACATATATAATCTTACACATTCTAATAATCACATCCAAAAATGTCAAGGGACTGTGGTGGTAGCTCAGTGGTGGAGTGCTTGCCTAGCATGTGTGAGGCACTGGGTTCGATCCTCAACACCACATCAAAAGAAACAAAGGTGTTATGTTCATCTACAATTTAAAAAAAAGTAAAAAAGAAACAAGTGACATCAATTTAAATATTTTGTTTAACCCAGTAGATTCAGAATATGATTTCCTCACATAATCATTAGAAGATCAATGCCATATTTTAAGTTATTTTTTCATGTTGAGTGTCAGGCATCTGGCACTTCCTTTACAATTATAGCACATCTCAAATTGTATGCTTCTATAGTTTGCTTCTGAAATGTCTCCTAAAGGCGCATGTGTTGAAGGCTTGGTTCTCAGGCTGTGGTGCTGTTGGGAGATAGATCTGGTTGGCAGGAGATAGGTCATTAGGGGCATGCTTATCATATGGAGGTCCCAGCCCCTTCTTGCTCTGTGCTTCCCAATCATTGTGTGGTGAACAGGCCTTCTCCACCATGGGTTCCTGCCATGATGTACTTCGTGACCACAGGCCCAAAGCCACAAGCCATGTGACCATGGCCTGAAGCCCCGGAAATCATAAGCCAAAATAAACCTTTTCTTCTCACATGTTCTTTATCTCAGGTATTTTTCACAGTGGTAAAATGCTGACTATAACCTATGTTAATTTTTATGGGAATTATTTGATCTGTATTTAACTTTCCTAAAGTTTACAGCTGAAAAAAATTATATTTACACATACAAGTTAAGCCAGCTAATTTTGTTTTTCCAAAAATAGCATTAGGAATTGGTCTTGAAATTTAAGTTCATTGAAATAAAATAATTCAATTCCTCAGTTTCACTAGCTACATCTCAAGGGCTCAATAGTTATGTGTGTCTAGTGGGTACAGTTAATGGACAGTACAGGTTTGTACTATGCATCTAGCTGGATATACCTTTTTATTGTACTTGATCATCCATCCATCCATTTATCCATCTATCCATCCATTCATCCAACATTTGCTGAATATCTACTCTATGCAAAACCATGTGGAAATTGCTGGCAATAAAATTCAATGAAGAAGAACATCTTCATTCCGTAGGAGCTCCTGGGATGGTAAGAGTCAGAGGGAAGGGCCCTTTCCTTCTATGCTTCTTTGCACCTAACTCA